GAAAAGCACCTTAAATTATTTTACACAATTGTAAAGGTTTATGGTTAGTTAAGTGTGATATAAACAAACCCGTATTGGTGGGGGTGATGGTGATTTTGGCAACTTTCTCTACTTCTCCTTTTAATACTTCCTGTAAAATATACAAAAAACAAACCCACATTTAAAAAACTCCAGTGTTTTAAAAGACTGAATCGAGAAAAAAAAAGCAACTGAAAAGTTGCTTTGTACTAAAAGTACACTTTCTCCTGGTGCTGTACCAAAAACGTCCTCTGAAATATAGAAAATGCTGTGTCGACCGCCAAAAGGTCAGTAAACCTAATCGAATTAGTAGTGTAGGGACGTTAAAGCTCTACTAGGTTTGGGGTAAGCTCCATTTATGGTCGAACCAGTCAAAATAGGGGCTGGTTAATTTTACACAAAGAAAAGACAAATCGTTCTGTATCACACGAATGGTCAGATGATTCTAGTTTTAAAATGAGGGGAAAACTTAGGAAAAAATAATTGGTTTACATACCTTCGTGGTGTCAGTTAGAGCTCTCTCGTACACAATGTAATTCTGTCCTTTTTCAAGTTCTTCATTCACATATATTTCAGTTTTTTCACCATCGCCAACAGTAAATTTCCAAGGTTTTACAACTGCTGGGACATTTTTTATCTCAGCAGCAATGTAAAAGTTCACGCCGTCTTTCTTGGCATCACTGGCAGCCTTCAGCTGGGAATCATAATTCTCCGGAAGCTTTTCAACACCATCGACAACTTTCAGAACGATAACCTGATAAGCACTAAAAGATTGAAAACAATTCGCTTGACTCATGAAGACAATTTATAAAGCCCTTAAGTACATCATGATCTTGCCATCAGTGATTGGTTGCATACTACGAAGCCAAAATCCTATTACACATCCATAAGTATTCGCAATAAAAATGTACCTATACATATAACATCTTACACCAACAATCAGTTTGGAAACGTGTCTAATTATATCCATATGGTATGCGTACTACTCACTATTAGACTTGAACGAAATTTCTTCCAAAGAGAACAAATGCGGTAATTTTAATCTGACTTACAGTATACTCAATTTTTCCCTTTTCGTCATATTGTTTCCACTTCAGTGTAACCTGGGTTGTTCCAGAGTGGGTTGCTCTTAAGTCTCCTGGTGGTTCAGGTCCTTTAGTGTCATGTTAGAAAAACAAAATAGTTTAAGAAAACTCTAAGGTACATTGTAGAAGTTGTTTTTATTACCTGGAAGCAGACACACTATAAAGAACAAAAAATTGACCTGAATCATGATTTGCCAGAATTTCACTGTCTGACCTCGTAGCTTAGTCGGCAGAGCAACGGTAGATCTAATCCGGAGGTCGTTGGTTCGACTCCCACCGAGGTCAAAATAATTTTTTCTTTACCTCGTGTGGTTCCCAGATACCCTTTCTTAGGGGCTTAACGCTCAGTTGGTTTTTTCTATGGGTTTCATTTAGCACTTTAATTTACGTTCCGGAGTTAATTCTCTGTTCCATCATTTGTGTTCCTAGTGCAACGCGGCACAACATTTAGATGTACCCTTACTTTCTCTTCGCCGCGATTCACCACCTTAATCAATCCCGACTTCCTCTGTCGGACCTCATGGCTTAGTCGGCAGAGCAACAGTAGGTCTAATCTGGAGGTCGTGAGTTCGATTCCCACCGAGGTCACAAGAATATTTTCTTTACCTCGTGCGGTTCCCTAATACCCTTTCCATGGGCTAACGCTCAGTGGGTTTTTCATGGGTTTCATTTAGCACTTTAATTTACGCTTCAGAGTTGATTCTCTGTTCCATCATTTGTGTTCCTTGTGCTACGCGGCACAACATTTAAATGTGACTTTAGCTCTAGTTCTTCTGTACCATTTAACTCAACTGACTTCATCACCATGATAATTACTTTTTGAAACAAATCTGTTTTCACCGATCAAGTCACAAAACCAGAATGATTTTCATAATAATCTCGTCAGACTTACTTGACGTTTTCATTTGCAAAGGTTCGCCATAGGGTCCAGACCCTGCCGCAGTGTAAGCTCGAACAAAAACATTATATTTAGAACAAAGTTCGAAATCAGATAGGACAACAAATGTCACTGAGGTATTGGCAGAGAGGCTGTTGATGACAGATCTTTTGCGCGAATTTTTCTTCTTTAAGAAGATGGCCTTGACTTCATACAAAGTAACTTTTCCATGACTCTTTTCTCTTGGTAAAGGTTCCCATGAAATGTTAAAAGTCGTCTTGTTCACTTGAGAGGGTGAAGCAGGTTCTGGGCCAACACTGGGTGCTAAGAAATAGGGTAAAAACCTCACCTTTCGGTATTCTGTTCATAAACTGGAAATATTTTACCACAATTGGGAGAGAAATACTGGCAATTCTCGATAAAGTAAAGTCAGAGTTGAACCTTAGCTTACTTATATTCAATAGTTTTTTTAATTGATTTCTGATTTTTGTGTTATTAAATCTACGTTAAGTGGTGTAGGACAATGATATTTAGATTATACATTTGTACAGCAGGCATAAGTCTTAATCGAGATATACATATAAGCAAAAACAATTCAGCCAACCGCTGCTCTCCCCCCCCCCCCTTATCTTATGCATGTTTTACGTAGTAAGTAGGAGTCAGCTTTAGCCCTTTATTTGTCATTGGTGACCAGCAGCTGTCCCTAATTTTCACATTACTATATAATAATTTACTTTAGTACAGTACCAATAAGATTGTTTTCATTCTTTTGCTTGTTCTTCTAACATATAACTTTAAACAAGTCGACCATTTTAATGATGTGAAAGCAAAGTTTACCGTATTCCTTGGTGGTTACATTTATCGTCCCATTTGGTCCCGGTTTGATAGTCACAGCTCTGACATGAAACAGATAAGTCACTCCACCCAACACATCAACTGTGTGATTCAATGCATCTTTTTCTAATCCGAAATTCTCTTTTGGTGCACCTCCATCGTGGCTGTAAAACAAAGTGTAACTTCTGATCACCCCATTTGTTTCTGCAGGCTTGCTCCAGGACAAGGTTATTCTGGGACCATGCAGATTGCCGGGTGGCACATCAACAAAAGACAAAGACGTAGGTTTACTGGGAGCTGGAAGAACAAAGATAATGTGATTGTTGATGAAAGAGTGATACAGAAAATCATTACACGTATTTGTACCAAATACCAACAATAAATCCCAAGCATGTTGAAGTATGCTGTAAGTATGTACTGCTCCCTTATTGCGGTCGCTTATTCATAGGGACAATCTAAATATTAAATTAAATTCAAGTTCATCTGAGCAACTGAACTGCTCAAGTCATGAGAGCAAACTACTTAGGGCTGATTGTTCACAACACATGACAAAAAAGAGGTTAAAAGCTAATTTAAGAGGCAAGGTCACTATTTAAGAACGCGTCTGTAAGAATCAAACATCTTGCAAAATGAAAATTTTCAACCCCCCTTCACATTTTGTATGCAGTTAGGCACTCAGGGGATGCACAAAAATGCCCTTTTTAAAGGTTGCAGCACTCTTGTTGCCATGGTAACAACGGCTGCTTGTTCGAGGCCTGGTGCCTCATTTTCATACAAAAACATCGCAAAAAAAGTGTAAAATGTTTATTCCTCTATCTCGAGCTAAATACAGCATTACAGATTAGTTTGAAAATTGGAATTATGACATTATGATTTCATTGAATCTTTTATTTCAACTTTTATTTTTCCTTGATCAAGACATGGAAGGAAATATTGACTGACTCGATTGCACTGTGATGGTGATAAGTCTCTTATGTTAATTAACGTTCAGGTTAATTAACGTTCTTCAGGAGAAAGAACAGTGATTTCATCACGATTATTTTCCACAATTTTTTTCTTGGATATCTTTTATAAGCTTACAGAAAGATGAATATAACACAATCTTCTGATGATTTACACGACAGGAAGTCAAAGCTCTCTTTAATTTCCCGCTGAGGTGGCCAGTTCACCGGGAAGAATGAGATCGTTCGGTCCAATAACGTTAGTCTGTGGAGATTATCAAGCTAATAACTGAGAATATTGTGCCCGTTGGTTCATCAGTGACAAATCTGTACTCCTCGGTCCATGCGACACCGAAAAAAAAACCTTTGTAATTTTGTAGGCACTTATTATAGCATTTTATTATCAAGAAAAAGAAATCTCAAGGATCAAAGCCAAAATACTGTTCAAGCATTGACAAGATTCCCTGAAAAAAGCTAAATTTGTGGAAAATGATTGTGATAAAAGCCCTGTTCCATTTGCTGTAATGAGGGGATACTGAGTTATTAAAAATCTCCACTTTCTAACAGTTTTCGCGCAAGTGGTGGGTTTTACGTGTATTACTACCGCTGACAAGTCGTGATTTATACTCTCACTCTCAAGTGTTTACGAACGTTCAATCAAAGTTTTGTTGTTGTTGTTGTTTTTTTTTTTTGGGTTGTTTTTACTTCAGAATNATATTCGTTATATAACGTCTTAGTTTGTAAATTTCATTCAGTCGTTGTTATTCCGGAGTGCCGTACAGATCTTGTAAGTAGTTACGCCTTCGTTTGTATTTTCCTGTGTTTTTTCCTATTCATTTCGTGGTATTTTAGTTTCGTTGGGTTTAAGTTGGAATTGTTAGTTCTGTATTTTTCTGTGTTATGTACAAGTGAATCATTGGGATTAAAGGAACGCATTCAAACTGTGACGGAGTGACAGTAACACCAAGACATTTTCTAGGTTGATTGATAACAAATAGCAGTTACCTATTCCTTCATTTATTTACTTATTTCAAATAATTCTCTAATTAATTGATTCGTTTTATCATTTAATATATGCAAAGTGGTGTAGGTGAATCATCTATAGACTGTGTATTTGTGCTGAAGGTATTAGCCTTAATCAAGATAAACGCAAAAACAATTTAGCCAATCACTGATTTTTTCCCTTAACGTTGTGTTTATTTTGAAAGTAAAGTTTACCACATTCCTTGGTAGTTACAATTATCGTCTCATTTGGTCCAGGTGTAATAGTCACAGCTCTGACATGAACCTGATAAGACACTCCACCCAACATATAAATTGTTTGACTTAATGCATCTTTGTCTATTCCGAAAATCACACACACATGGACGTTCCTTTTTCTACAACCATACATAATTTAGAACCTTTCTTTTAATTGACATCTTTTAAGTGAAATGAACAGCTCATAACTGCAGGATAATCCCATTTTCTTTGAAGAGAATTTGAGTACAAAATAGCCTCTCCCTCTCGTGGTATTGCATGTTAGCGGTCGATTAGATTGATATGTTAGTTATTATAATTAATAGAATATTATGTACGTGCAGTTCTTTTAGCAACGAAGTACTGCAAAAGCTAGGCCCTTTTGCTAAAATATATCAGCAAGACATAAAAATACCACAATGCATGATTTGACTGATTGAACAAAAAATTGAAAATCTAAGAAATGTAATTGTCACAACAAGGGCAAATTTGCCGTTATGTTTCCAAATTTTTAATAAAGAAATCAATTAAAGCCCAAGTATCTAGTTGTTTACTATTCTCATCCTGTGTTTGGTTACCTACAATCAGTGTGTTTATCAGGACATCTACGATGTACATTCAGCAATTAAAAAAATATGGTTAACAAATCGTCACTATCCTTGATCTGTCACATACCATCTTCCATTGTTCTTTCTGCCTTGACTGTACTGTTTGGTCCATCACCAAAAGAAGTGAAGGCTAACACTTGAAATTCATACTTAGTGTACCTTTCAAGCCCAGACACTTCTCTACTAAATTCTGTTCCATTTTTTATAATAGAGGTTTTTGCTGCACTGCCAGTCCCTTTCTTTGTGTGGAATAGTTTAAACCCTTCGATTCTTCCATGTCTTCCAATTGCTTGTGGTAACTGCCAGGAGGCTGTAATGCTGGTAGAAGAACTTGCAGTCAACGTGAAGCTGGTAGGGGGTTTTGATGGAACTGAAAGAAACAAGAAGAGA